TAAATGATTGCACCTTAACATTGCACAGCCAGCCATTGACGTCACTTACGTTGTTAATCCAAGGGAGGCAGAAGGGTAGCCGGGAAGATGCCAGACTGCGGGCTCGGCCAGCCACCCTCTGCCCACTTCTCTCAGATCTGGTCTGGGCGCCCTTCCTAGGGCCCAGCCCCAAGCCTGCCCTTGCCCCGGGTTCACAGGATCCAGGCTGCCTCCTGCAAGTCCCGGATAAGCCCCCCCGCCACACTGGGCGCTGTCCCCACACTCAGGAGCACCTGCATTTCCCTTCCCATCAGACGGCTGGAGCACAGACTGGCATGGAGTCAGCAGACCTACCAACGGGCCTCAGGGTACTCGCTGGGCAGCGGGCAGTGGGACAGGCCGCTGCTCCTGTCTGAGCCAGCAGTGCCCTCAGCCACAGCCCACAGGCGGGCCCAACACCCAGCTCCCAGGACAGCAGGCGAAGAGAAGAGTGGTGACAGACCAGCCCCGGGAGAGGGACACAGGCACTTCCCACAGATGACAACCACCCCCGCCCCGCCCACTGCCAGCACCAGACCTCAGGGCCCTCAGCCCGCACAGGCCAGCTGTCCTCCCTAACCGGCCACACGTGGCACAGACCCGAGGCCACGCCCATGGCCCCCTCCACGGCCCCCCTCCACCTCTCTATGTGGGTTTGCACAGAGAACAAAGCACACTTCAGACCACCGGGTGTGTTGGTTTTCGTTTGAATTTTAAAAGGACAACAGGAGAGCCTTAAAACACTTTAAGTCATCGGCGATTCGAGGGACATCTTATCCTAAAGCGTTAATTCTTTGATGAAGGATGCAGACGGCGTCACAGGGGCCAACACTGGAAATGACCGTGTCCAGCAGGAGCGGACTCACACCTGTCACCATCCGGATGACAAGGTGCAAAAACACCAAACGCCAGTGAAAGAACCGGACACCAAATTCGCTGCGTCAGAGCTGCTGCAGTTAACAAATCTATGCACCGAGATAAACTCAGGACGGAGACATGGAAATACCGACAGGGCTGTTGTTTCCATGGGGGGACAAGCGATTTTCTAATGTATTCATGCCATTTTTTCTTCCTTTCCAAGTAATCTCCTTCAAGAAGAGGGAGAAATCTTTCTTTTATAAAAAGGAGAATGGCCTGGCCGCAGTGGCTCAGAGGCTGAGCATCTACCTATGAACCAGGAGGTCACGGTTTGATTCCCGGTCAAGGGCACGTGCCCAGGTTGCGGGCTCGATCCCCAGTGTGATCTGAAACCAATACCAATATATATATATGTATATTTTTAAAGAACTATAAAAAGGAGAACGGGTTAAATGATTGCACTTTGACATTGCACAGCCAGCCGTTGACGTCACTTACGCTGTTAATCCAAGGGAGGCAGCAGGGTAGCCGGGAGGGTGCCTGACTGCGGGCTCGGCCAGCCACCCTCTGCCCGCTTCTCCCAGATCTGGTCTGGGCGCCCTTCCTGAGGCCCAGCCCCAAGCCTGCCCTTGCCCCGGTTCCACAGGATCCAGGCTGCCTCCTGCAAGTCCCGGAGAAGCCTCCCGCCATACTGGGCCCTGTCCCCACACTCAGCTGCACGAGGCCAGGAGCCACAGAGCAGGACATCCGGTCACCCACAGCAGGTACCTTGCAATGGGGAAGAAAGAGTGGGGTGGACCCTGCGGGGATGGGGGGCAGGGGACCCCGGGAAGGGCTGGACACCCAAGGGTGGGGAGACCCTCCCCAGCAGCCTTGGGCAACTCATGATCCCACCGGGCGCCTCAGAGCCCCAGCCTCTTGGAGACGAGCGTGTAATTAAATTAATCCGGGGTTTGCAGTAATGAGGAGAGGAGCCTCGAGGGAGGGAAGCGTCATTTCCCGGCTTCGCTGCTGGTAGGGAAAAGGAGGGGTGACTACAGAAGGGACTCCAGGCTGGGCTGGCCATGGCGTTCCCTCAGACCTTCCCAGCCCCTCCTGGGCCCTGGGCCAATTAATTCCAGGGGTTTCACGATGCAGCTGCCATCTGCGGGGGCGGGGGGAGGCCTGGGAGCCCCTCCCCGCTGGCTCTGTTTGGGTCCAGCCCAGGAGCCGTGTGCTGAGCCCTGGTGCTGACCCTCAAGACACCCTGCCTCCTGGAGAGCTGCCAGGCCAGGCCCATCTCCCTCCGGGCCTGGCTCCCTCCCTGACTAGGCAGTGTCGCCCCAGCCTCTCCTTCAGTCCAAACGGT